TTCCAGTCACAGAAGACTCCTGCTACACCCTGGGGATGTCATTCCACTCCGTGGTCTCTCATTCCAGTCCCAGAACACTCCTGCTACACCCAGTGGCCGTCATGCCACACTATGGCTTGTCATTGCCATTCCAGAACACTCCTGCTAAACCCTGGGGCTGTCAGTCCACTCCGCGATCTCTCATTTCAGTCCTAGAACACTCCTGCTACACCCTGGGGCTGTCATTCCACTCTGGGTCCTCTCATCCCAGTCCCTGAACACTCCTGCTACCCCAGGGGGTGTCATTCCACTCTGTGGTCTCTCATTCCAGTCCCAGAACACTCCTACTACACTCTGGGGCTTCAGTCCCCGCTGTGGTCTCTCATTCCACTCCCAGAACACTCCTGCTACCCCTGGGGCTGTCATTCCACTCTGGGGCCTCTCATCCCAGTCCCAGAACACTCCTGCAACCCCCAGGGGATGTCATTCCACTCCGTGGTCTCTCATTCAAGTCCCTGAACACTCCTGCTACACCCTCAGGCTGTCAGTCCATTCTGAGGCCTGTCATCCCAGTCCCAGAACACTTCTACTCCACCCTGGGGCTGTCATTCCACTCTGGGTCCTCTCATCTCAGTCCCTGAACACTCCTGCTACCCCCAGGGGCTGTCATTCCACTCCGTGGTCTCTCATTCCAGTCCCAGAACACTCCTGCTACACCCAGAAGCCGTCTTTCCACTCCGTGGTCTCCCATTCCAGTCCCTGAACACTCCTGCTACACCCAGGGGCTGTCATTCCACTCCGTGGTCTCTCATTCCAGTCCCAGAACACTCCTGCTACACCCACGGGCTGTCATTCCACTCCGTGGTCTCTCATTCCAGTCCCTGAACACTCCTGCTACACCCTGGAGCAGTCATTCCACTATCTAGTCTCTCATTCCAGTCCCAGAAAACTCCTGCTCCAACCTGGGGCTGTCATTCCACTCCGTGGCCTGTTATCCCAGTCCCAGAACACTCCTGCTTCACCCTGGGGCTGTCATTCCACTCCGTGGTCTCTCATTCCATCCCCAGAGTAGTCTATTTGGGTGCAGAGACCCTAATAGAAAATCCATTCCACATTTTTATTGCAACTCTACTTGTACTGTCATGTATTTCAAGGGAGTCCATGGAAGTCAATTGGCATTCTTGTCTCCTATTATTTTCAATGGGCCTTCAAGCTTCTCCCATTGTTTCCAACGGGCAATCCTGTCCTTCCTGTACATCCCCCCAGCAGCACCTTAAAGACTAACAAAATTTCTGGTAGGGTATGAGCTTTTGTGAGTCACTGCTTACTTCTTTAGATACATCTTCAGATACTTCTTCAGATACAGCAGTGACCCACAAAAGCTCATACCCTACCAGAAATTTTGTTAGTTCTTAAGGAGCTACTGGACTCTTACCGGTTTTTCGCCACTCTTGTGCATCTCCCTCCTTTTAACACAACTCTTTCTAAAATACAGCAACCCCTTTATATATGGGATTCTCAAAGAGAAGGAAAAGAAGCCTGAAATGGGCCCCGTAATCGAGATGCATTTAGTGTTATGTATTGAATTGTATATATAACTGCTATGTGAACTGTGCTATTGAGACTTGAATGTAAATACTGATGTGTGAATCGCCTGATTGAGATGCCATGTTGAGCTTCATCCTGGGCTAGGTCCCCCAGTGTCTTTTGACTTGGATCCTGGTGTTAGGCCTATCCGCCTTAAATACAGGAAAGTGCCCATTCCGTTCAAAGCGAAAATCGAGGCTGAACTCGATAAGTTAGTTGAGCAAGGAGTTTTGGAACCAGTCCCTTTTGGCAAATGGGAAACTCCCATAGTAACTCCTATTAAACCTGACGGGTCAATTCGGATATGCGCTGACTACAAGTGCACCATTAACAAAGCCTTGCAGCAGCATTCGTACCCTGTCCCGGTCATCAGTCACGTTTTAGCGTCACTGGGAGGGGGCAAAATATTCGCAAAACTCGACCTAGCCCAAGCATATCAGCAACTCCCGGTAACAAAGGAGGCCGCTGAAGCCCAAACGATAGTAACGCACAGAGGGGCGTTCAGAGTGAACCGACTCCAATTTGGAGTGAACGTTGCACCAGGGATTTTCCAAAGTCTCATGGAGGGATTGCTGAGGGGAGTGCCCGGCACGGTGCCGTACTTTGATGATGTGCTAATAGCGGGCAAATCCGAAGATGAATTGTTGAATCGAGTCAGAGAAGTACTCAAGCGTTTTTCCGATGCGGGGCTCAAGGTAAAAAGGTCTAAATGCCTGGTGGGTGTTCACAGTGTTGAATTCTTGGGATTCCGGGTGGATGAGTTCGGGGTCCACCCCACAAACGATAAGGTATCCGCAATACAGCACGCGCCACGGCCACAGGGAAAAAAGGAGCTCCAGTCCTTCTTAGGACTCCTTAATTTCTATCACGCCTTTTTGCCCCATAAGGCGTCGGTGGCTGCCCCATTGCATAACCTCCTGCACAAGGACACCAAGTGGAGGTGGGGCCCGGAGCACGAACGAGCGTTTAAGGGGGTGAAAACATTGCTATCATCAGATGCTGTGCTGACACATTATGATGAGAACAAGTTACTAGTGTTGGCTGCTGATGCGTCCCCATATGGGGTGGGGGCGGTTCTGAGCCATGTTATGCCGGACGGACGGGAGGCCCCCGTAGCGTTCTATTCCAGGTCGTTAACAGCAGCAGAGAAAAACTACGCACAGATTGATAAAGAGGCTTTGGCACTTGTTTCTGCTGTTAAAAAGTTTAATGACTTTCTATTTGGAAGACGTTTTATTTTGGTAACGGACCACAAGCCCTTGCTAGGGATTTTTGCCCAGGACCGGCAACTCCCTAATGTTATGTCCGCTCGCATGTTGCGATGGGCATTGTTCCTTTCGGCGTATGAATTCGACTTGGAACACCGGCCGGGTAAGGCAATTGGACACGCTGATGCGCTCAGCCGCTGCCCTCTGCCCGGCCAGGACTTGGACCCTGCTCCTACTTGCTCAGTTCTGGCTATTGAGGAACTGCCGGAGGCACCCGTGTCAGTAAAGGACATTGCTGCTGCGACAGCTAAAGACTCTGTACTCAGTCGTGTTCTAAACTGGGTGTGGAGGGGGTGGCCGACAGGGAC